TTCCCTACAAATTTTAATTAGGTTTCAGAGAGAGCCTACAACATTGTCACGAGGTTTTAATGCTCTCCAGACAGACAAATGTACCGGGCTTGGATAGATTTATGATGATTGCGTTCCTTTGCAAGGGTAAATCCAATAACTAGGTCTTGCTTTTAAGATGTGTTTCATTGGAACTGAACCACGCCACTATTAAGTACTGGTGGAAGCTTATGTAGATACACATCTCCTTTCCTTTGAGAGGGTCTTTAGGGAGTCTGCGTATGGGCATTGCTCTCCCTCATCATCCCAGGTCTTGTTCCAGAGACCCAGTGGTGTCCTAAGGGATCTTCTTGGTCCTGCTGCAAGAGGGCAGGCAGCCTCCCGGGGACAAACCCTGCTACACTCACATTTTTGAAGTCATGGATCTCCAGGATTTCCTCGCTGCCATTCCCGCTCCTGAAGGTCTCTGTCCTGGCCAGGGGGTCAATCTCCATCACAATCTTCTTCTTCTCACCGTGGCTGAAGAACGTGTGCTCCATGTCGTAAACCTGTGAGGGACAAAACCACATGGGGGTTGGCTGAGCCCCCCACCCAATTTCGTGTGCTGGCCAGTGGGTGAGTGAGCTGAAGCTGGGCACCTGACCTCTGGTGTTGGGTACCCTGCCACGGGGCCGGCTGCTTCCCCGCTCCCTGGCTCTGAGCCAGTTTGTATGGCACAGGGAGAGGCAGCTCCTAGGCACCGGGGCTGGGAAGAAGGGCAGGATGGAGCCAGGCTGCGGGGGGACGACACGTGTGTTGAGCCTGGGAGAAGATGCTCATCCCACACTTGCACCAGAGCTTTGCCATGGCTCAGCCTTTGTTGGTGTTTTCTGTGGCATTAGCCTGCTTATGTCCCAGGCTGGATTGAAGTCCTGAGCCCAAGGGACCTTGCTTTCCCCTGTCGCTGTCTTTCTTGCTCCATCACTGTGTCCCTGTCTCACTTGCTCCATCACTGTGTCCCCGGCTCGCTTGCTCCACCACATCATCCCCAGCTTGCTTGCTCCATCTCTGCGCCTTCTGTTTTTCTTGGGAAGGCAGAAGTAAAAGCCTCTCTCTGCCTGGAGGAGATCAGGGATTGCCTGCGGATCAAAGACCTCCTCCAGGGCTGCTGAAGAGCTTCAGGGCGTAGCAGCCGGCTTCCCGGTGGCACTCATCCCCACAGGGAGCCGGGGGGAGCGGCGCCGGGGGGAGAAGCCCTCTCGTCCTCGCAGGTGCTCGCTGCACTCCGCCAGCCTGGCAGCCCTCCAGTCTCTGCGGATGCCTGACCCTTGAAGGATGAGTAGTGGCAGATGCTATTTGAAGCACAAAAATGATCCTGCTGGCGCGGCGAGAGCTGGCGAGCCCTGGGGAGCCTCGTTCCCCAAATCAAACAGTGTCATGCGGAAGCAAAGGGCTCGTGCAAAACCCCTCAAGTCCAGAGGGCAGGGGGCGTGATGGTGGCACGGGGACAGGAAAGCCCTGTTTGTCCCCTGGCGCAGCTGTGGAGCTGGGGAAGGAGTGCCCTGGCCCCGCAGCAACGCCCTGCTGAGGGGGCCAAACCCCCTTTCGCAGAGCCCTGGTTCTTGCACACCCCTCCCCAGCGGGGGGCTCAAAGCCCCTTAGCAATGTTTTCAGCATCAGCATCCCCCGTTCCGCAGCTGCTGGAGGAAGCCTGGGCACAGAAGCGGCCGTGCAGGCGGTGACGGCGGGTACCTTTGGCCCTGCTTAAAAGTTAGAAGAGCGATGGGCGCCTTGGCAGCCATGAGCAGCTCCTGCTAGTCAGCAGGAGGCTTTTATAAAGATATATGGCTGTCAGTGGATTTTACAGTACGGTAAAAATAGTCTGAAGCCTAAAATGGCTGGAAGGCCACCGGTTTTGACTGACAAAATGTGCACGGGGCTGTAAATCAGTTCTAGGAGGCGAGGATCCCGGGTGGCACCTTACCTTCCAGTGCCTCTCCATTTACAAAGAATTATTTTTGCCAGCGCAGTGGCCAGCTATCCCATTTGGGCTTGGCCAGCTCCGTGCTACTCGGAGAGCTGTGAGATGTTTTATAGGGCTAAAAATGACACTTGCTCGCGAATCGTTGAAGTATGTCCCCCTGCGAGGCCCTGATGAACCCCTCGTTAGCTGACTCATTGCCTTTGCTCACTGGCGCTGCCGGCCGGCGTGGATGCTGCTGTGCAGGGGGCAGTGCCGTGTCCAAGGCCACCCCTCAGAGGAACAAGTCTTCTTTAAGGATTTTTTCCATTCTCCGGTTGCGTGAAGGGAGCTCAAAGCGCTTTTTGTTCTTTGAAGAGTTGAATTCCCCTTGTTTTATATTTTTGCGCATTTGGGACTTCCAGCCTCCCTCGTCCTGCTTTTCCTGGAGGACTCCCGGGCCAGCTGGAGAAGCGCTGCCCCACGGCCGCAGAGGACGCGGTGATGCCGGATGCCGGGAGCATCAGCGCGCAGCTCCACCGCAGGGACGTCTTTGCTCTCCTGCGAACTTGTGCTTCGCTTGCCCACCCATCAGGTGCCCTGATGGGCTTTCAGAAATACTGATGGATGCCATCCTCCATCAGGCTGCGGGAGCCGAGGACCGGCGCCCTGGATAATCCTTCCGAGGCTGCGGCAATGGCTCCGTGCCACCGACTCAGAGAAAACCTCCCCTCCGGGGGTTAACAGCCTCTTCCCCCCGTGGCTGGCACGCACCCTGTTTTTCGAGGAACAGTAGAGACTTTATAACCGTCTTGGCAGGAGCCTGGAGGCACATATGGCTTTTATTGCTTTTTCTTTTATTTTGGGGGGTATTTATTTCTATTTGCTGATAAGAAGACAAAGTTTCTGGCGAGCGGGGTGCTTCCTCCACCCAGCGGGAGGGCAGCCCGGCCGGGCTAGCTTGGCTCCAGCGTGGGGCAGGGAGGAGAGAGGAGATGCCACCGTGGGAAAGAAGCCGCCTTGGCTGCACACGGGAATTTTGGAAGAGTTCTTGAGAGCCGGCAAAACTCACCAGGGTGCAAAGCGGGGCCTCTTGGATGAGCATGGAAACTCAAAGGTTGGGGAGCGATGGGGAGCACCAGGCAGGCTGTTGGCTTTCAAGGTTAAGCGATTTTCTTGGGGTATGGGACAAAAAAACCAAAAAGGGTTTTGGTAGAACTGCCAAGGTGCTGGGCAGCAGCGGGCAGAGGTGGGTGGGAGATGCGCAGCCCCGCTGCCGCCCCCAGCACGCTCAGCACTTACAGCAGCGTCCGTCTGGGGAGCTGGGAATAAACGAGCACAATCCAGTTAGCAGGAGCTCCTCCAAAAGCTAATCCGTCTCACCATCCCCTCGCATTGCAGACACATTAAAGTAAGAAATATAATCCATGACAATCAATCACCACTGCGTCCTGGCTTTCTCTCCTCTTTATGCGGTGGCATAATGACTTTTCCACCAGTTTCTGGCAAGATAATTGAAATGAAATGGAAAATATTTTCTTACTTGTCATAAAATTTGCTGCCGGTGAAATAAGAGTAACTTTAACTCTTCGTGGTGTAGCTCCCATCCCCTGTAATTGTCAG